CATAACTGGCCCGAATAAAGTTTATATATATACCGGGCACGGGAAATAGTGCTACCCCACAAAAGCACATTCGAGATACAAAAACAAGACAGTCAATAAATTCGGCTTTTAATCCCGGGTGGTACACGCTATTGCGAAGAAAACATAAGAATGAAAGGCGACAGACATTTTTAGATATAGAGGCTTTACACACGCGCCGGAATACAGCCGCCATTGCTGACCTTCTCTTGTCTTAAGGAGATACTGAGCCACTGGAACGGGTGTTGACGAGCCTCCAGAAAGGCCAATGCTGGGAAGAAGGATACAATGGAATCTGAGATGGCAAAAACCTGGACTGCTATGGTAATAACGAAGTGAAGAAAACGGAATAAGCGGAAACAAAAACTGAAGGTCAGTTATGGCGGCGACCATGCACAACTGCTGTAAAGCGTCTATAAGGCTTTATGAGTGTGTACCAGTAGATCTTTTATTTCGAAACTGACGCATTCAGCGAGAGAGGCGCACAGCGGGCTTAGGAAAAGGGCCTAACAAATTGCCCGATTTAGGATCGTTCTATAGCTTGCTGACCCACAAAAGAAAGTTCCAGCCCCCGGACAGGTTATCTCTCGCTTGTACCTCCCATATCTACCACGACTACAAAATATAAGTAGTGGGGTCAATATAGCTATTTAGCCATAATCACTGGGCGAAAAATGTCGAGACAGTGAGATTTGGACGCATATAAAGTGTCTAGACATTTTGTAAAAGGGGGCTAATAGGCAGCTCAGAAAGCGTTGGTTCCTTAGGTCAGTAAACAAAAATGGCAGCTCGAACAAGGGAATTGTTGGAATGGTGCCATATCCGTTTATCGATTGCGACTGAGCTTAGAATATTCACGAAGGTTTCCTTCCCCATACTTGATAAAGCAGAGTTTTCAACGAATGCCTTAGGTTTGAAATGTATTGTTTGCTGAGCGAAAGCGAGCTACAAGTTCGCACCTGTAGCTTGTTTTTTATTCAATGTGCAATGCCAAATTTTAGTTGGGAGGTTCCTCGAATAAGGCTTAAAACGAAATTCAGCTGCCTGCCAGAATATTGCTAAAGACTCAAAGTGCGAACTGAAATGAAATAGGTGACATCTGGTGGATTGGAGGGACTTTTTGACACGCACTGCTCACTGCCCTTAATTCACATTTTCGCAAGAAAACGAAAAAAAAAAAAAAATCACAATACATGAGTATAAATATTGGTTGCATTTTGCTGGAGACATCTCTCGACACTCTTCCGAACCTTGAGCGGTTTCCAATTCCACAGCAATCTGGATTGTTTAGGAAACAATAGAGCATATCTGTCGTGTTTAGATTGCTTATCATCTAGAATTCAGCTTTCTCAAAAATGTCTGATAAAAATTTACCAAAACAAGATTCTAGTTGTTAGATTTTAGCTCTGTCGCTTAGCATAGACTGCAGGAAGTTTTCACAATCAAATAACGACGAAGTGGGTAGGTGGGGCCGGGGGGAGGGATTTCGTTGAACAAAGGTTCGTTAAAATAAAAATAAATAAGGTATCAGAGAGATAGTGAGTCTCGCTCGAGTCTGGAAAGCATTCGTTCTTACCGGCAGCAAAATTCGTTCGTTTATTTTTGGTAACTCTATAAGAGCTTATACTCAGTGCGAGGCTTATTATGCCCACAATTATCTGCCTTTTAATTGGTTCCACGGCGTTCTCATTGGCCAATGCCGCACTCTGATTGGCTGCGAAAGCGATAATGAGATGCTTAAAACTGGCTACGCCCACCGATCCTTAAACTGTGAGCGATCAAAGTCCGAGAGAACTCGCGTTTCTCATACGCTGCTTTCGTGATTCGCCTCTGAGCACTTCTTTTAAGCCACGGCCACACTGCTTAACGCCCGAGTCCCATTAGAACGACAAACATAAAACAAACGACAGCGACAAGCCTCGAACCATAGTCTTTCGCGGTTTGACAGGCTTTGTAGGATAAAGGAGGATATGCTCAAACACGAGGTATCATGCACGCTAGGGTATCTTTGGCAGGCTCGAAATCACTCGTGCTTACTTCACGAGCATCGAACGACCAAACGCCTGCCAAAGATATACCACCGCGAGCATGTCGGGTGTGTTGGAGGCTTGTCGCTGTCGTTTGTTTCTGTTTGTCGCTCTAGTGGGACTCGGGCGTAACATATCGTACAAAATACAGTCTGCAGACATTGTAAAATCTGTTCGCAGACATGTTGGAAGCGTACAGAGCGCGACACTGTTAGCGCGAACAAGCGGTCACCGTTTTTTCCAGTTTTCCTCTTTGAAACCGAGGGATGCCTTCGAAGTTATTATTACCACAGAAAGAGCTGATTTAGTTCTAAAATGTAAGCGAAAACATTTCGTGCTCACTAATACTTTTAAGAAGTAAAATGCGAAAATGCGCCGATGTCGTGTTCGCGCTAACAGTGTCGCGATGTGTACATGCGTATGAAACAGACATGCTTCAAAAGATGCATGAGGCATGTCGGCAGATAATGCTATCATCGTGCTTGCAGCGGACGCCTCATCTTTTGTTTTTGCGATGCAGGAGCAGCAGTGTGGCTGCGGTTTTAAAAATGGAAGTATTGAGCCTCCAAATAAGCTACTCCTAAGAGTAACGACCCTTCAGCCACATTGTTGCTTAAAAATCAGGGTGGTGCAGTTGTCCGACGCTTTATCTGAAATCGCAGGAAACGCGTTTCCGTGCCCCATAAGTGTTAAAACAGTACGCGACAGAGAAAAACGACATGAGCTTCCTAAACGCCGCGTCTAACGCTCAGAAAGTCGCATTTTTGAATTGTGGCAATCGACAGTTTCGTCTGCTCCGGACTAAGCGCCAACATTGGGGTGTCCACTAGCAGAACGGGGAACCGAGTGCCAATCCTCTAAAGCCGGGGTAGAACACTGCTTGTACATCATACAAAAGACAGTCCTACAAACACGAGTCACCGCAATGTCCGCGGTTCGCAAAGAGGTTGGTGAATGCCGCGTGCCATGTTACTCCCTGAACTCGCTGCCCTGCAGCATTCGAAGCACGGATCTCGCGATGACTCGCGTTGGAATTTGTGTGCAGACTGTCTTTTGTGTGACGTACAAGGAGTGTGACCCCGGTTTTAGCGTAGCTTATTTAGTGGCTCTAGATGGAACGATGTAGAAATGAGCGATTTTTGCGTCGTGGCAAACGCCATGCGTGATTTGGCAGGCGAATCACACCGCCTCATTCTCGAGCAGTTCTTTGTTGAGACACATAAAGAGGTCGGAATAAATGACATTGGGGGCTTAGAGCTTGCCGCGTATAACGCGAGTCAAGGGTTCCGTTCGGGCTAAGTACACGCATTCCTTAAACCCGATCCATGAAAGACGATCTTCGGCAGGATCTCGACTCGTACAAACAGGTCTTCTTGTTCTTTTACGCAACGATGACACACTCAAGTCCTCGGAGATTGAGTTTTCTGAGTATATAAATAACAATCAACCCAGCGCGGAAGTGTTTTACGTCACAAACTAGAGACTAGGCCGGGGAGCGGGGGGGGGGGGGGGGGGGGGGGGGCAACATCGAACACGGGTACTGCGACAGCTCTCTGCGGGGACTGGTGCTCGATCACTGAGAACGCGAGTTACAACAGCACGCTGACGCCGTTCTCCTGTCCAACCTGCGTCCCCCGCTGGCCTCCGATAGGTGACGTCACACATTCTAGCACTACGCCATCGCTTTCAAGTTGCTTCGTTACTTGAAAGCACTAGCTTTCAAGTTGCTTTGTTTGTTCGACTGGTCATGTTTGTGAGACGCGTTACCGAACACGACTGTTATTTCTATCTCAAATATTTTTCCTTCTTTTTTCTTCTTTTTTTTCTGACAGGTTTGGAAAAAGAGGGTTCAGTACAAAAGGCTAAGAAGCCTGACGAGGCACTTGTTTCTTACAGTTTAGGCAGAAGACAGAAGAAAAGTTAATTCAGCTCAAAGTTATAAGCTCAAACAAAGTGATAGGCATCTTCCCGATAACATAAAAAAGAACGAAAGGGCGGCCAATTAAGTGACAAAGAAAATAAAATATACTCGTAAAACTGTACCGAGCGAACGTAAATGCCAAAAACCACAAACTAAATAAAAAATAAATCGCCGAAACCGCGGAACCTTTTTCACAACGTTTGTGGGCCCTAGGCGCTTCTCCAAATAAACAATCTTTCGGCAACATTGAGCAGTCCTGGCATAATTCACGATTTGCGCCATTTATTGATTTAGCGCCAGGGAACGCGACGCGCTGTGACATTTATGACCACGGTCCATCATCACGACCGTTATCGAGCCCGGTGTTTAAGTAAACGAAACCTCGAAGACAAATACCGCCGCAAATTCGCCCCTTAAGTTATTCAGCCTTGACATAGCACGTACACAACGTCATATTTGCAGAGGAGTGCACTATCCGAGAGTCGCTGTTGACGTTTATTGAAAGGAAAACGACGCACTCTGTGCTCAAGGCGATCGACCAGCTCCACAGGTTGCTCGAAATCAAGGTCAATCAGACATCTCTTAATGGCGCATCGAAGGTGCTTTACTTTAAATTTTTGTGATAATTAATGTTATCCTGCCATACTGTACAATATGTATAAAGTTGACAGCAACAAGCGCTACTGCGCAGTAACTGCGTCACAAAAAAAAATTACATGAAATACGCATGACTGAAATAAAGTATGATGCTCCTAAAGAAGGAATTACACTTCCATACTGTGAACCTACTCATCTTTTCTCGCCGAATACAAGACATAATCGTGCTCTTGGCAGCACGCTAAGAACAGTATCTCGAATGATTTGGCCGGATCAGACGAACATCTTCGTCGTACATGGGCATTGTTCGGCCTAACATCTGTTCGCCTGGCTCGTCGAACATGGCTGCTGTCGAAGAGCAAAAAGCTGTCGACAGGAGCCGGATTCGCGTAGGCGCTGTTTCGTACGAGCGAGCGTCTAAAGATTGAAACACTCACCTTGTGCGGCTGGTGCTTGCGCTTCTGAGCCTGGCTCTTGCTTCTGGGACAGCGACCCGGAGGTTTTCCGACTCTGCTGCGCGTTGTTTCACTTCGAACGCGGCCGTCAACGGAACCGACGGAGTCCTATACCCAGTTCTCGAGTTCTCTAAAAGATCCGTGGGCCGCTAGATTCCGTGGGCTCTAGAGAGGAGGAATTTGTGGAGAGGGGAAGGCAGTCGCTTCGCGGAGATGAGAATTACAGGAGCAGGTGATTTGCTTCACGAGCGAGGAAAACGCGTGCGGAAGTACGTCACGGGTGCGCCATTTTGTCTCGTCAGCGGACATAATTGAGCAGTCAGCACACTTGCAGGCGTCCTCGTGGGCGTTGCGCTCCCGCGTACACTGAAGTACAGTAAAGCGGTTCGGGAGAGAAGAGAAGCGCAGAGAGCCCGAAATGGGCGTTGGGCGTAGCAAGATGGCCGCCGGGGCACTTCCGTCGCGCTTTCTGGGTCACGTGATACCCGCTCCTCACGTCTTTCGGCCTCCTTGCATCGGTCGCGGCCGGCCTTGCGCAGACGTTTCCGTGCGCGTGCGCAGGCGGTTGCCGGGGAAACGCGCGGATGTGATTTCGCCCTCAGCCTCGCCTTCCGTATCGACTGCGGATGGGAACCCCCCTCTCCCTTCGGGAGGTCGTTATTTCCCGTTGAGGGATGGAGGAGGTAGGGAAGGTCGATGTTGGATATAGTTGCATATCATTCTGCACGTGTGGCTCTACGGTCTGGCATCGCGTTGTTAGTGGTGGGCGGGGACGCGTCGGCGTGAAGGCCGCGACGGATGTGTGCGCCTATAAATAGGTGCGTTGGCTGCTCGGAGTATACTTTGATCTAGATGAAACGTCGTGTGTTGTAGCAGTAAAAATGACAAAGTAAGTAAAAAGGCAAAAAAAGGTATCTTGATCCTGCGGATGGGGAGACAGATTGTGTCGCTCAAGGGCGAATATATTTATCTTTTTAAGACTAATGAATTAATATGATCATTTCTAATAATTATTTAACGGTACTTACCATATATAGCGGGATGTAAGTACGTCAAATTTCGCGGCCGCGTCACTGTTTTTCGTGACTTTTTTTTTGGTGTGGCGTTACGCTCGTTTGATGTAAACCAGCCCTATAACACTTCGTTGAAAATCGATTTTAACGGGTTTGTTCCACTCCGTTTCACACTGCAAAGCGTCACGTGACTAGGAAAAATTACACAGCAAACTTCAGAGCACGCATATACCTGTAACTGACCCTTTGTCCAATGTCTATGATTGACATTTTTTGATAGGTATTGTTGCCGAATTACACCTTTGTAATGCACTGTTTTCAAAAGTCCGCGCCATCGCCTCTGTCGTTGCTTGTTCATGTTCTCTGATCACGTATTGGACACGAGGGCTTCGTAAGCTTTCGGCGAGGACTCGGAACCAATCACACGCCTCGAGTCCAAACAATGGCGACCGCCAATGTTGCTTGATGAACTTTTGAAGAGAGTCTATTGGTATGCCCAAAGCGTCAAAGCCAATGAATCAATGTGGTCCCTCTTCTTTATATGGTCATACATTTCTTTGTTGTATCAACATTTTTAGAAAGCAAATACATAGAGCCTTGGAGAGCTCTTGAGCTACGCACGACACTTAAAATGTTTGTTATTGTCGCAGAGCGCTCTAAGGATATAGGTAACATTTGAAGAGTCATGTGCAGCTCAATTGCTCTACAAAGCAGGTTATGTTTGCTTTAAAAAAAAAAAAAAAAAAAAAGGTTGATACAACGCAACATTGTATGGCCATATAAAGAAATGTAACCACGTTCAAAGCGTCACGCATATACTTTCACTTTCGTTGAAAAACGACAACAACAGTTGTTTTGATGTACATGCTTGTTAGTCTATGGTTAATCTAGGGTGCCCACAATGTTCGGCAGCACCTAAGGTTATTTGATTCCGTAAATGTTCCACTGTTCACGCGTTGCACTGCACAGAAAAGGTGTAAGAAAAGAACAACTCGTATTTAACAAACCCGGTAAATTTTCATACACAAACATCAGGGCCAACTTGCTAGAAACGGCGTCTCAGCTGAGGCTAGGAGAAAGAAGGCACTGCCAAAGCCAGCGCACGAGCTGAGTGGGACTCAAGGCGCGTCTCAAGATGCTCGCGCGCCCCAGCCTTGGCAGTGCTTTCTTTCACCCAGTCTCATCTAGAGATTCCGCGAACATTTTACGAACCTGAGGTTCGAAGGTCGAACAAAGGGGTTCGAAAGGTTCGCAAAGATTGGAAACGTCGAACGTATTACGTAAGAAATTCAACGATTTTCGAACTTTCGATTTTTAGCGCTGAGAAATTCGGTTGTTTTCGAACTTCCGATTTTCCGTGCTATAGAATTCGACATTCCTTATCAAGCCAAGAAACTCCACGATTTTCAAACTTGGCAACCTGTTAGGTTTAAATGTTCGACAAACTTCAAACTTCTGAATAAAAGTTCGACGAAGTCCGAACCAAGCGCACCCCCATAGGTTCAAGCGGTTCAAGGCAAAAAATATAAATAACACAAGATGTCGATATGGGGAGTTGAAATTGCACTAGAATCTTACTTAGCTGATCGTGCCACAAACGACTCGCGTGTAAGACGCTGAATGAACTTCTTTTTTTTTTTTTTTTTTTTTAATAATCATAATAATATTTATTAGCTCAGGAGAGCCGCGGCACCGCAGAAAGGCAACAACCCGTACCATGGAGGCTCGCGGTGCCGCGTCCAGTGACGGTGGCAACTTTGGGGTGGCCTTGACCTGAAACCTTTTTCTTTCAACTTCCGCACAGAGCCTCTCCCACGCACAATTCCGTAAGTTGCCCCGAGTTAACGTGTGCCCCAAAAGACCTCTGATGTGCCGGCTTGAAATTCAACCGGGGCGCTTTGCTAGGCGCGTCCTTCAAAAACAACTACCGTAGTTTTTTTAGTTTTTTTTTTATCGTAAGTGTTCCGATTTCTTCCAGTCAAGGAAATACGCGCGTGGAGCGCGACGCCCATCCGCTACAAGGAAAGCTGACTCGGCGCTTACTTTATTACCATTAGTAACCGGCTGCGTTTTATAGCGGCCCATATCTTCATTCACCGAAGAAGTTTTAGGCAGCGGAAATATGGTTAGCCCGATAACACCGATAGTGACCTGATCGGCTACGTATTAGGGGGCCGGGTGGTTCCCTCATTTAGTCTGGCTGCAGTCTCCTCAACATTGACCTGTGTCGGGTGCTATGTCTCTGTTCAGTGTTTCCTCCATCCCACGGGTCATCCCGCCAAAAATAAACGCCCAGAGCAACTAAAAATCTTCGGGAAGTCTGGATGACTTTGCGTTCTTGCGTTATCTCGTATATTTAGTTGTCTTATGCCGGCATTGCATTTAGACAACATTTGATCTGGTCGCTACTTGTTCGCAAATAAGTAGGAAGTAAGTTTACCTGACCGCCTCAGGGCTTTTTGATGAATAATACGTAATAAGAAGTAATAGAGGTAGTACCGTCAGTGCCACAGCACAGAAGGACAGGAACCATGAAGACACCACTGAAGCTCCATCAGTGGTACCCCCAACTCCATCCTTCACCAACTTGCTCCTTTTGCGGGTGGAAATTGGGGGACCTGGTATCACTTGATGTGGGAGTGCAAGGACATTAAAAGTTTTAACCCGATGCCGAATCTGACGAGAGACAGCTGGAACGCGGCCGTCCGCTGGAGCGATCCGGGAAGCCAACACTGGTTAGCACGGAGGGTAACGGTGGTGCAAGCAGTGGTTGGAGCCCCGGACTCGAGGCACCCAGCCAGAACTCATTCCTCGATCACCAATTAACCCCTCCTGTCACCAATGTCACATGACACCAATTAACCCCTCCTGGTTCTTTTTCTTCGATTGAGACGTTCCTCTCTCTATCATTTTATTCTACTTTTATTTTTTCCTCACCACAGTCTTGGTTGTTACAGAGAATGATTAACTGTCACCAGCTCGCTTGCACACTCCCTGTCTTGTTGTTAGACTGTATATGTTCACAGAAAGGTGTCAACTGCTTCATCCCGATTTGGTGTGAGCAGTACACATCCGAGTGATCTGTTACTGCTGATTCTAGGTGTGCTGTCATACCCTGCCGACTTTACCCGCATGTTTTGCACATAGCTATGTTCTGCAGTAGCTGAATCTGGGTCGTTTGAGATCACTAGTAACGCCCAGTAGTCACGTCCCCAGGCTTGGGGTCCTATAGCCACTTAAAAGAAAAGGGTTTTCTAACCCATGTTCTGACTTGGTTACTGAAACTCACGTGTAGCATCGGACGACCAAGATGCCGCTCTTCCAAAACACAACCTTCTGCAAAACACGTGGATTACATCCGCAGGTATGGAAACGCCCCTGAAATCAGTGATAACAGGGGTCTTTTTCCAATTTTGCTACGAGTAACCAGGCTCCACCTGGGCCGGTTTTCTCGAAGCGATGGTAAACCCATTTTGGTAAACCACGGTGCCTAGGAAGGAAAAAGTACCTAGGTACTGAATAAACGGCTGGATATAGACCAACAATAATTACTTTTGATTGGGCAGTAAGATGCGCCATCTATCGGTGAAACAAGCCAGTCATTTTGTTTATTAACTTTTTCCGCTGGTTGTTATCGATCTAGTATGATATTTTAAGTCAAAATATAGTAATGTTGTACTTGAAGACCAATTTATTTGCTTCAGATGGTACGAAGAAATTTTAGCTACTATGCTAGAGTTTGTCGACGAATATTCGAAAATGTAAGAAACATTTCCTTCAATATGTTTCGCCTTAAACAACGTATAACTTTCCCGTGTGCCTTCCAGTCTGGCAACGCCGATGCTGTATTCTTGTTTTTGTTCCTTGCGACGCACGTTTTTGCGATTCCTGCTGATCTCAACTGTTTGCCCTCTCTTCCGTTTGCCCAACCGACCTACCGGTGACGAGAAGCTAAGCTTCTCGTCACCGTTGAATTGCTGGCCACCTGGGATATGTGGAAGCCTCGATGCTGTGGGCATACTCTCGGCGTACTGCGAACAAAAAAAAATAATAACAAAACAGTACAATGTCCCAGCTGTTCACCCGGAACGAAGACTTTATCGAGGATAACCCCCTTTCTC